ACGTTACTCAAGCATAAGTTCTACACGTGTCTATATCTCATTAGACAACACTGGAATCATCACAAAACGCTCAGCAACCATTGGTACATTTCTGCGGCGGATTATAGAAAAAGGCGTGACATGTCAATGGGATGACATATATTGGCGACCAATAATATTCTAAGTACAAATCAATGTGAAAGCCAAGTACATCAAATACACGAACAATTAATCTGTAGTATTTATTGTTATTTATAAACTGGTTCTCATAATATACTGAAGCAGTTAAATGGGAGATAAGTATTCTTCCAATTAGGTTATATGATCTCTGAACAATTCTGGCCATCACATGAATAAGTTATGTCCCGTTTGCCAGCAAATTTTATGGCTCACACATTTTATCATATGTGGATTTTACCACCCGTCGTCTTGCAAGTGTGTGTCATCCATCTTAGCCTTAGTGTAAAATAACGGAACGAGTATATCTTAATGATAAATATTTTAACAAATCAACACCAAACAACAGTTTTAGCCTTGATCATAAGAATATTCATGCTAACTACTTCCATGTGTGTGCGCGCGTCTCTGTGTGTGTGTGTGTGTGTGTGTGTGTGTGTGTGTGTGTGCGCGCGTCTGTGTGTGTGTTAAACAAACTAAACGTAGTGTTAGCAATATGGAACAACAGAAAAAAATATCAGTTTAGTTTCAAAGAATTGGTTCTATTTATCCTTATACTACATATTTGAACAAGAAGCTACCGTCCGCTTTCTTCTCATGTAACTCAGTGTTTCCCAGTTTGTTGTAGCCCACCACACGCTTTTCGCTCAACCCCCCCCCCCTCCCCCACCCCCTTTTTCCCGTCTTACTTCCAGTGCGCGGTAGCGCCCATTTTGGGGAAAAACTAGTCTAAGGGACACAACGCTATCTATTTTTACATACAGGACATCATTTCGTCACTACTTCCCTCAGCTAACCATTTATATCTAAGGTTCATAACAGGTTTTTTTTTTTTTAACTCGCCGCCAAGTTTCTGAAAGAAACTAGAACAAAGTGTGCTACTATAACTAGAACAAAGTGTACAACTCTAACTAGAACAAAGTGTACTACTAAAACTAGAACAAAGTGTACAACTCTAACTAGAACAAAGTGTAGAACTCTAACTAGAACAAAGTGTACAATTATAACTAGAACAATGTGTACTACTAAAACTAGAACAAAGTGTACAATTATAACTAGAACAAAGTGTACTACTAAAACTAGAACAAAGTGTACAACTCTAAATAGAACAAAGTGTAGAACTCTAACTAGAACAAAGTGTACAATTATAACTAGAACAATGTGTACTACTAAAACTAGAACAATGTGTACTACTAAAACTAGAACCAAGCTAAAAAAATCATCTGAAAAAAAAAACGGCACAGAAGGACGAAAACGACCTGTGTGAATAACAATGAGAAGATAGAGAGGATTCCGCAAGTGATGATAAAGTATCGGACGGCCGGATTTGTTAGGTCCTCTCCTCCAGTCGTGAATAAAGAAGAGAGAAACACAGCAGATGATAAAGAGTAAGGGACGGAGGTTGAGAGAGAAACACAGCAGATGATAAAGAGTAAGGGGTGGAGGTTGAGAGAGAAACACAGCAGGTGATAAAGAGTAAGGGGTGGAGGTTGAGAGAGAAACACAGCAGGTGATAAAGAGTAAGGGGTGGAGGTTGAGAGAGAAACACAGCAGGTGATAAAGACAAGGGGTGGAGGTTGAGAGAGAAACACAGCAGGTGATAAAGAGTAAGGGGTGGAGGTTGAGAGAGAAACACAGCAGGTGATAAAGAGTAAGGGGTGGAGGTTGAGAGAGAAACACCGCAGGTGATAAAGAGTAAGGGGTGGTGGTTGAGAGAGAAACACAGCAGGTGATAAAGAGTAAGGGGTGGAGGTTGAGAGAGAAACACAGCAGGTGATAAAGAGTAAGGGGTGGAGGTTGAGAGAGAAACACAGCAGGTGATAAAGAGTAAGGGGTGGAGGTTGAGAGAGAAAAACAGCAGGTGATAAAGAGTGCGGGGTGGAGGTTAAGAGAGAAACACAGCAGGTGATAAAGAGTAAGGGGTGGAGGTTGAGAGAGAAACACAGCAGGTAATAAAGAGTAAGGGGTGGAGGTTGAGAGAGAAACACAGCAGGTAATAAAGAGTAAGGGGTGGAGGTTAAGAGAGAAACACAGCAGGTAATAAAGAGTGAGTGGTGGAGGTTGAGAGAGAAACACAGCAGGTGATAAAGAGTAAGGAGTGGAGGTTGAGAGAGAAACACAGCAGGTGATAAAGAGTGTGGTGTGGAGGTTGAGAGAGAAACACAGCAGGTGATAAAGAGTGTGGGGTGGAGGTTGAGAGAGAAAGAGAGAATAATTTACAGTGAAAGGTTAAGCGAGAAATACATAGCGGAAGAGTGGAAGATACGGACCAACAAATTCGCAAACATTCATAAAGACATACAGAAGGGCTGATTTAGAGACATAAAAAGGGGCAAATTTAGAGACAAGGATGGGATCATAGAAAAGAGAATCAGAGTTAGATACCTTAGAGAAATACGTAGACAGAAAGAGAGAGAGAGAGAGAGAGAGAGAGAGAGAGAGAGAGAGACAGACAGACAGACAGACAGAGAGACAGAGAGACAGAGAGAGACAGACAGACAGACAGAAAGAGAGAGAGAGAAAGAGAGAGAGACAGACAGAGAGAGAAAGAGAGAGAGAGACAGAGAGACAAAGAGAGAGAGAGAGAGAGAGAGAGAGACAACTACATAAGATAAAGGATAAATATGAAGTAGGAGGAGGAGGTTTTACAGACAGACAAATACAGACAGGGATAGAGAACGAGAGTGCAAACAGATAGTGAGTGAGAACGAACGAACAACCTGTATTTTCAAAGGGTCACAAATTGGGCACGAATCTTACAATCGGCCGTTCCAAACACCCATTTTTCACACAGCAGATGTAAATTATTAAAAAAATCATGTTGGTTTGAGTTGAGTTCCCATACGCGCCCCGTCCTCATCCTCAGCAGCCAGCGCAGTGTTTCAATGCTAATGGTGCCGTTCGTAGTCTGGTTGTATGCCCGTCTTGCCTTTCCTCTGAGTGTAGTGTGCCGGCTGAACTCTCTGGTCACCGGCTGAACCCTCTAGTCACACCCAGGTGCATCATCTCTCTAGCCCATAATATTCTAGTTTTTCGCTACCTGTTCCGAAAGGGCTCTGACCACATCTGCCTTGTCATGTATCAATTCACCACCCAGAGGTGCAGATCCAGCCAATCTGTCTGCCTGTTCATTCTCCACCACACCAGGCCGGCATGGCCTTAATAAAAGATCCAAAGTATGCCCACTACCAGTGACCTTGCAAGTGAAGCTTGTCAATCTGCTCGAAGCAATCCTGTCTTCACCATTTTTTCAACATGCTTTCAGAGTCCGTGACAATTATGACATGTATATGTATCTTGTTTTCTAGACACTGACAAGCTGCAGTGACTGCCTCCACCTCCATTCTCATGCTAGAGGTTGTGTTATCATATGCCAGCCTGTCCTGCACTAAAGATTTTCCTTTGATTTTTGCTACGAAACCCCAGGCACTTCTCTTCCCTCTAAGAACAGAACCATCTGTGTAGATATCAGATCATCAGGACAAACATTGTCTAGAATCAATTGTTGGACTTCCACTTCAGTAGTCCCCGCTGGCCACTCTCTGAACTCCTAAAAAGCATGTTAAGTTCATATAAAAAGTATAAATTATGAATATCAATGGGAAAAAACCCACAAAAGTATGGGTAGTAAAAGGCGTGCACACACACTAAGTAACACCGGCCATGATGTCACCGAGCCAACCACACGTGGTGAGTTCAAGTCCCTTCCAGCTCCATCCATGGCCACTTCTCTAGCTTCTTATTCTGTTTATTTCAGTGTTTTATGTTGGGTACCGCGGTGTACAAACTCCCCTGTGGTTGTGGCTATTGATTATATCCTGCTGGCTTGGGCGACGATGTTGCTCTTCAGGGTTTTTCCTTAGCGAAGTGGTCGAGTTGTTTGCCTCACGTCCTGAAGATCGTGGGTAATTTCCACGGACTTGTCTATCATTTCACAAGAGCATTATTGTTATTAATATTAACATCACTAATTTCAATAATTTCGTCATTATCATCGTAATAACGCTGTCATTATTATTGTTATTATTAATATTATGGGTATTATGGTTAAAACCATGGAAGGATAAAACAAACGATGCAGTCGTCGTCGAGATGATGGCAGTCATAAACTTGGAACACTTAGGATGATACACAAAACTTATGTTCTGGAACAAGATCAAAGTCCACAAGTGGACGAACAGCCTGCAGGAGTTTACAGCCAATGAAAGCTAGAAAGAAGTAGCATCTATTTAGCTGTCAAGGAGACGCATGATTATCCAATGGCGTGTTTTTGTTAGTTGACGAGAAAGCCTTTACACCTAAAAAACTATCGATGACTCTGGTGTAACAGAACTGTCAATTGATTGGTTGAACACTAAGGTATTCTTTTGTACAGTCTAAACAATTTGACTTATTAAATTACACAGATTGTGAATGTGTTTTCCTAGTATAACTTTGGGATTCTCCAACAGGACAAGGTGATTGACCTGCTACTGCCCCTGGTCCGGGAACTGCATAAACAGAAGGCATACCTTGACCGACTGGTGACCGTGATATTGATGAGGGTGCCCTGGATTTTAGAAGATGTTGACAACATGGAACTGCCTGATTGTGAGCCCCTGGAGTTGGATAGGACTAACGAAGAAAGATGCGCAGAGTTGACCAAAACCGACATCACTGCACTTGGGACATTCCCATAGGCGCTATGTCCCCATCTTAGCAGCCATCGCAGAGTTCCACAACCGATTGTAACAGTGGAAATCTGTATATCTGTCTTGACTTCCCTCCGAGTGTTTGGCGTTACTGGTTATTGTCGTTGCACCATTCTCGTCAGACCGTTCTGATCTTTTTGTGCCCTGTATGGTTGACTCTCTTCCGAAAGGCCTTGATAGTTTCTAGCTTGTCATGTGTCAGTCTACCAATAAGTGGTATGATAGTTTCTAGCTTGTCATGTGTCAGTCTACCAATAAGTGGTATGATAATTTCAAGCTTGTCATGTGTCAGTCTACCAATAAGTGGTATGATAGTTTCTAGCTTAGCATGTGTCAGTCTACCAATAAGTGGTATGATAGTTTCTAGCTTTTCATTTGTCAGTCTACCAATAAGTGGTATAATAGTTTCTAGCTTGTCATGTACCAGTCTACCAATAAGTGGTATGATAGTTTGTAGCTTGTCATGTGTCAGTCTACCAATGAGTGGTATGATAGTTTCTAGCTTGTCATGTGTCAGTCTACCAATAAGTGGTATGATAGTTTCTAGCTTGTCATGTACCAGTCTACCAATAAGTGGTATGATAGTTTCTAGCTTGTCATGTGCCAGTCTACCAATAAGTGGTATGATAGTTTCTAGCTTTTCATTTGTCAGTCTACCAATAAGTGGTATAATAGTTTCTAGCTTGTCATGTACCAGTCTACCAATAAGTGGTATGATAGTTTTTAGCTTGTCATGTGTCAGTCTACCAATAAGTGGTATAATAGTTTCTAGCTTGTCATGTGTCAGTCTACCAATAAGTGGTAAGATAGTTTCTAGCTTGTCATGTGTCAGTCTACCAATAAGTGGTATGATAGTTTCTAGCTTTTCATTTGTCAGTCTACCAATGAGTGGTATAATAGTTTCTAGCTTGTCATGTACCAGTCTACCAATAAGTGGTATGATAGTTTCTAGCTTGTCATGTGTCAGTCTACCAATAAGTGGTGTGATAGTTTCTAGCTTTTCATTTGTCAGTCTACCAATAAGTGGAATAATAGTTTCTAGCTGGTCATGTTTCAGTTTACCAATAAGTGGTATGATAGTTTCTAGCTGGTCATGTTTCAGTTTAACAATAAGTGGTATGATAGTTTCTAGCTGGTCATGTTTCAGTTTACCAATAAGTGGTATGATAGTTTCTAGCTGGTCATGTGTCAGTCTACCAATAAGTGGTATCATAGTTTCTAGCTTGTCATGTGCCACTCTACCCAGGAGTGGTGTAATAACACCCAATCTGTCTAGCTGTCCATTTCATATCTGCATACCTGGAAAATATATCCTGTGGACGATAACTACTCGAGACTTCTGATGTGATGCTTGACGCTCTGCAGGAAGCACACATGAACAAGGGAGATGATGACGTCCTTATATGTTGACTTCGATTTCTTTGGTTCTGGACACATGGAAGCATTTCACATTCTTTGTACACCCCAGCTCGTTCTTCTCAGAACTGGCAGTGCTGCGTCGTTTTGCAGCTTGACTGCAACATTTCCGCTTGTAGCATCTCACAAGTTGAACGCATTCAGTTAATGACTTTGAACTCGTTGTTTTTGTTTCAGAAGACTTTGTGTCTGGAGTTCACGTAATAACATCAGTGTTTGTTGGACATGAGACGTCTTCTGTTTGTGTGGTTTGTTTGTGAGTTTTTTTTTTTTTTTGCATTCAGCCATTGCTTTCGTCATCAAGCAAATGCCTTCTTCACCAAAACCGTTGACCATTGAACCTGGATCTACATTCTCTGAGTCTGTAGTTTGCACCCTGCCACCCCCAACCGTGTGAATGTAAGGACTTCATGGAGGAGGGGGGGGGGGTGTTGAGGGTGGGGGAATAATAGATCCGATGTCCACTTGCAAGCATATAGTAGGAGACGACTCACAGGGGTGTTTACTTCGAAGTAAGAGTGTATCTGCCTGAGAGGTGGGAAACCAACATCTGCATACAAGTAAGGCAGATCTATATAACGGTTGGGCACACAAAAATCAAGTTCTGAAACAAAACCAAATTCTAAAACTGAACTAACAACACAGACTTTCTGTGGGAGTTTACAGCCAGTAAAAGCTAAGAAAAAGAAGAAGAAGAAGAAGAAGAAGAAGAAGAAGAAGAAGAAGAAGAAGAAGAAGAAGAAGAAGAAGAAGAAGAAGAAGAAGAAGAAGAAGAAGAAGAAGAAGAAGAAGAAGAAGAAGAAGAAGAAGAAGAAGAAGAAGAAGAAGAAGAAGAAGAAGAAGAAGAAGAAGAAGAAGAAGAAGAAGAAGAGGAAGAAGAAGAAGAAGAAGAAGAAGAAGAAGAAGAAGAAGAAGAAGAAGAAAGTTATTAACTCATCTCTTGATATTGCTTTCCTACTTGTATCGATGTGCACCCCTTGCTTTCTTGTCTTAAGTTTTTTCCCCAACACTATGGTTTTAGTTGAGGTTTGTGTGTGCGTGTGTTTAAATAGAGGTTTACGTCTTTTAATATAACAGCTGCTAGTGGGATGCACACGTTGAACCCGGGCCACATCGATTACATGGTTATCGGTATCATCATCAGCTTCACACAGCAGTTGAGTCGATATTCGCTAACAATCAATTCCTCCCGTGTTGTGATCTGCCCGACAAAAGACCAGATGTGTTTTTAAAGATTCAACCAGTGTCTCGTAACTGGAACATCTGGAAGAGATATCTCCTCGTGTGATGTCCTGTTCACAGTCTCAAGACAGTTATTTCCCCCATATTCGTCGAATTTGTGATGGTGCACATTGTTACTTTCTCACAATGTAAGGACGGGTAGTGTTCACAATGGCTAACTGCTCACAATATCATCATCATCATCAGGTGCCTTGCCAACTGGCGTGGGCGATCATGCCTCTCCATAATCTGCGATCTCCTGCAGCATGTATCAGTTCGTGTGCCGACACACCTCCATGCCTTGCAACAAGACTGTCAAGCATCTTCTCTCGTTGTCTTCCTCTATGGGTAATATTCACAGTTGCTAACTTCTTGCAATATTGCGCTGCATGGTATTTAAAATTGCCACTTTCTTATCGATAACAAATTATTATTTAACATTGCTACTTTCTAAAAATATCCTGATGGGTCATTCCTAAAATTGCTACTTTCTCAATAAATACAAGGTCCGACAATTATGTAATGAGACTAATTCCATTTAAAAAAAAAAATTTTTTTAATAAACAGTTGAAGATAACCTGTATTTTATTCAGAGAAAGCCCCTTGAGCATTGATTGTGCATTGGCAGGATCTAACAAACACTGGAACGACCTCTGTAGTTCATCTGTTGTCATGACCCTTAAAGTCGATGTTACGTCCTTTTGGATGTTATCAATATCGCTGAAGAAGTGTCCCTTGGAACGTAACTTTAATTTTTTGGAATAGAAAATAATCACATGGAGACAAATCTGGGGAGTAGGGTGGATACGCACTTTTGTGGGGGAAAAAAGGGGGGGGGGGGGCATATTCTTGTTTAGATGATGTCCTTTGGGTACTCAACCCGCTGATGTTTTTGATCATTAGACAACGAATGTGATACAAACCTGCAAGCAGCTTTTTTTTTGTTTTGTTGTTGCCAAAAGTATGCACTAAAATGTTATGAATGGTCTCTTTATTAACACCAGATTCATCTGCCATCATCCCCAAAGTAAATAAATGATCTTCTTGTATCCGTTCTCTGACTTTTGCAATGGGTTCATCATTACGAACAGAAATTTGGCGTCCAAGTCTAGGTGCATTAGTAATAATTTCCACACCACTTTTGAATCGAGAATACCACCTAAAAATTTGTGCACGAGATAAACAATTATCCCCATAGGCTTGTTGCATCATTCAACTGTTTCAATGGCGTATTTCTAAGTTCTAAAAATAATTTTATGTTAGCTTTTTTGCAACAATGCACCTCTGACTAGGTCAACAAAATGGCGGCTTGTCGTTGTCTGCTTATCGAGCGGCGATGAAATGTTGCCAGATCATAGATGAATGTTGCCTCTTTAGATTCCATGCTTTGCTTCATAGATGACATTTTTGCCTTAGCCATAATCAAATCATTACTTCATTGTCGGACCTTGTATAATAAAAAGAACATTGCTACGTTTCCCAAGGATCCGCTATGGTTAAAATTGCAACAATTTTATTTTTTGTTGTTAGGAAAATTCACTCTGGCTCGTTGGTTGATCAAACAAAGACAGAATGAAAGGTTATGTCCTGGGAAGTAAAGTCGGCCGGTGTGATATTGGCCACTTCATCCACCGTGTGTTGACTGGTCTATAAAATATGAGCCAAGCACAAGATACTTGAAGGACTAATGATGTATGAAGGCTCCGTTATTTTCGTGTTTTATTAATTTCTCACAAATAATTGTAAATAGGAGACCAAATATGTGGAAGATAAAAGCTCGTTAATACGAGTTTAAAGAGATCGAGAAGAAAAAGAAAAGATCGTGTTTAGAAAACTCATGATAACTGGTGACTAATATACGAACCCACGTTCAGCCTTTAGGCCATATTTATGGCCAGACTATATTGCGGCCCCTGGCAAAGCCAGAGTAGGGCTTCAAATAACAAAAAATTGTATCCTAAAAAGGACGGGAAGTAAAGGTAATCTATCATCAAAACAAAACAGTGTCAACCATCATACTGATAGTTGGACATTAAGTTACTATTTAAAAAAATTATTTATGCAGTTATTTGACACACTGATTCTTGTGGGTGTTTTTCTCCAAGTTTTTTTTTAACAAGGCTTGGGATGTTTATTTGTGTCCTTCTCTTGGTAATCACATTTTGTTATTTTGGTTTAGGAGATGGATTGGAAGGGGGGGGGGGGGTGGTCGTTAGGGGCTGTTACCATAGACTCAAGGAGGCTTACCTGAAATAGAGGATAGAAAACACTGATGTAAACCAAGAGTTCGTCTTAAGCGATATCCTGTTAACGAGGTTTTACTTATGTTGGACAACAATTTCCACCAACGAATGTTCATGCAAATCTCACAGTTATTTACTATGTTATTTGACACTGATTCGTGTGGATGTTTTTCTCCAAGTTTTTGTTAACAAGGCTTGGGATGTTTTTGTGTGTCCTTCTCTTCGTAATCACATTTTGTTATTTTGGTTTATGATATGGTTTGGGAAGGGGGGGGGGCGTCAGGGGCTGTTACCATAGACTCAAGGAGGCTTACCTAAAAAAAGAGGATAGAAAACACTGATGTAAACTAAGAGTTCGTCTTAAGCGATATCCTGTTAACGAGGTTTAACTTATGTTGGACAACAATTTTCACCAACGAATGTTCATGCAAATCTCACAGTTATTTACTATGTTTGTTCAATAATTGGTTTTTATGCTTGTACAAGAATTATTGATAACAACCGTGGTTCAAGCAGGTCTGGAACTCCCACCTCTAGAAACCTAGGCCAGACAGTAATTTGCCGACTGCACCTCCTCGATAGAGCTGGGCCTGTTGAATTCTGCCAGTCCTGAGAAAAAAAAATAAAAAGGTGGGCATGGGAGAGGGGATAAATAATATATTAAAGGTGCACTGAAAGGTGGATAATTGTAAACACACACCCATTGACTAGATGCTAATTTGGTTACCTTACTGCTGTGTCCCGATTTAACTACAAGGTAAGTATTGCACCAGGGCATAATGGGAAAAAGGATGGACCGAACAGATATAATCAACGCCGTACAGAGTGGGCTAACAAATACTGATGAATCTCCTGTTAAGAGATTATGCAGACGTATGTATCTGCTAAGTCTAAATTTCAAGGGAGATGACAGCAAAGTGCAATTTTAAAAAATTAATATAAGGGATATAAGATCCAAGAATATAATTCCAGCGATGCATGTAAACCTTACCGCCAATGTGACATTAAATATTGCGGATACAGTGGTAATTAAAAAGCTAACCAATATAGTGGTTACGGCTGAGGAGCAGTTAGCAGCTAAATTATAATGTACTCACAAACTACATAAAGGCATGTGTGCTGTATTGTATAGATATACACATTATATATATATATATATATGATGTTTTAACATATGGCTGTGAATCCTGGACAATCGGTAGGCAGGCCAAACAATTTCTGGACGCCTCAGAGATGTGGTTTTACAGAAGAATGTTTAGAATACCTTGGAAAGCCAAAAAAGAGCAACCAAGAGGTTTTGAAAGAGGCGGGAGCCCGAAGACAGCTTATCACAGACATCAGAAGGAGACAGTCATCATTCTTCGGCCATGTTATGAGAAGAGGGAAAATAGAACATGTTGTGACCACTGGAAAGATATGTGGAAGGAGAGATAGAGGAAGACAACTAGAGAAGATGATTGACAGTCTTGTTTCATGGCATGGAGGTGTGTCGGCACACGAACTGATACATGCTGCAGGAGATCGCAGATTGTAGAGAGGCATGATCGCCCACGCCAGTCAACAAGGCACCTGATGATGATGATGATATATATTCCATCCAGTCATCTCCATGTGAGATGCAATTGTTCCCTTATTTGAAGCCCTAATCTGGCTCTTGCCAGGGGCCGCAATAACCTCTCCCCGTG